CAATATTATTATGAAGACAGTGTCATTGTTGAACACAAAAAAATTTTTGATGTGATGCTCTCTTGCATCCTTTAGTAAGAATTAATACTCCTAAACATGGATACAGTTCATGAGCATCCCTGGGTTAGCAATGGCAAATTGTACCTGTGAGTGTTGGAGATGGACCCAAGAATAGTAGATCACAAACACACTCAGGGTTAGATTTTCGTGGAACAAAACCAGTATTACCTGATAGATGCATGTTTGTCTGGTTGCCCCATATGCCCATAACTTGCAAAATTAATGGCACTTAGATGTCAGTAAATATTTGCTTAAACAAATGGCAAAATGGCCATCTGAAGATTCCTGTTATTTTCTCAACACCATAAGTAACAAAACATTTCTGAGGATAAAAATTACATGCCGAGACGTCCTGCGATGTCAGAAAGAAGAAAAAAAATGTTGTCTCCCATTGTCTTGGGAGTAGCAGTCTATATTCAAAAGCATTTTTACTAAATAACCATATTTATAAATGACATATTATTACTAGGTCAATACTCTTCTGGAGATATTTAGTATCTTTTTAGGGTTGAAATTTCCAATTAGGGTGTAGTTGGTATATAGCAATATGAGAAAATACCATTTAAAAGTTCAGATTAAGAGGTGAACATTTTTTAAAAAACTTAATTAGAATTGGTCTCTCGGGGGAAAAGCAATTAACATTGAGGCATGATCCTCAAACGTTTAAAATTTGCACATAAACAGATTTTTGCCATTTGGAGAGACAAAAATTGAAAGAAAAATCAAGTGCAAACAGCCGTTTATTCATCCATAATGTGCCTTCCAGGGGATCGTAAACACAGTGAAAGAGTGAAACAAGAGAAATATTATACGTTGTAAACTCACGGGAAGCTCTTTTTCCTTCATGGTTAAAGGAGAACTTTGCACACCTTTGTTGTGTGTAATTATAAACCACTTCAGTCTTCACTCCAGACGTTAGCAAACAGGGCAGCCTGTCCTGTTCTGATGCCAATCAGCTTACGGATATTTTCTAGGATCCGTGTGCTTTTTGGACTGACAATCAATATTTACTTACAGATGGTGTGAGGGAACATCTTACATTAAATATTAGATAGGAAACCCATTTTCTATGAAAATAAAACCATGTCCACATAATTCAAGGATTTTGACAACTTTTATCCCAATCATTTTGAAGAATGTTAGCCCTATTGCTCAAATATTTGGGATTTCTTTTATTTGGGTTGAAGGAACTAAGTCAACAAGATATCCTAGACCAAAAATGACCACACTGCAGTTCAAATATTATATTTTTACAGATATGACAAATAGCACCTCAGGATAGATCCAGCCACCATCATGTGGCCTATTTGCCACTGTGTTTGATTTGTAACAGTGGTTCTGAAGCTTTTTGGACTCAGGATCCCTTTACACGTCTAAGAAACTTCAGAGCTTTGGATTGTGTGTGGGTTATGTCTATAAATCTGTAGCATACAGGGGCGCCTGGGTGGCTCAGTTGGTTGAGCGACTGCCTTCCGCTCAGGTCATGATCCTGGAGTCCCTGGATCGAGTCCCGCATCGGGCTCCCTGCTCGGCGGGGGGTCTGCTTCTCCCTCTGCCCTCTTCCCTCTCGTGCTCGCTGTCTCTCATTCTCTCTCTCAGATAAATAAATAAAAAATCTTTAGAAAATTAAAAAAAATTTTAAAAAAATAAGATTTTATTTATTTGGGCGCCTGGGTGGCTCAGTTGGTTAAGCAACTGCCTTCAGCTCAGGTCATGATCCTGGAGTCCCTGGATCGAGTCCCGCATCGGGCTCCCTGCTCAGCGGGGAGCCTGCTTCTGCCTCTGACCCTCCCTCCTCTCATGTGCTCTCTCTCTCTCTGATTCTCACTCTCTCAAATAAATAAATAAAAATTTTAAAAAAAAATCTGTAGCATATTCAGAGTTAAAACTGAAGGAAAAAAAAGACAATTGACCATTGATTCATTTTAAAATAATAATAATAAACCCATACTCTGTTAGCATGTTTTTGAGACTGTGTGTTCTAAAACCAAAAAACAAAGTGAGAAGAGAGGCATTATTTCACCTTTTTGAAAATCTCTTTAATATCTGACTTAACAGGGGCGCCTGGGTGGCTCAGTTGGCTAAGCGACTGCCTTCGGCTCAGGTCATGATCCTGGAGTCCCTGGATCGAGTCCCGCATCGGGCTCCCTGCTCGGCAGGGAGCCTGCTTCTCCCCCTGACCCTCCCCCCTCTCATGTACTCGCTCTCTCTCATTCTCTCTCTCTCTCAAATAAATAAATAAAATCTTAAAAATATATATATATCTGACTTAACCGAACATAGGTGGAGTCTCTGAATTCTGAATATCTGCGTATCTGCTTTTTCACTCATTCATTCTGTTGAAATATGTTGCATTGCATGATGTATATAAAAAAAATCCGGCCTCTTACAAACTATATATTTAGAAAAGAAAGTCGTTTGCAGTAGACTTTCCAGGTAATTGTTATATTTTTTGATACTATACCAAAATTTGTCACATGGGATTTCCAGGGGAAAACTGTAACTTGGAATTTGAAACCATAACAATACACTTTTTTGGACTCTCTCTTTTTTTTTTTTTAATGTTTTATTTATTTATTCATGAGAGTCAGAGAGAAAGAGAGAGAGAGAGGCAGAGGCAGAGGGAGAAGTAGGCTCCCTGATGAGCAGGGAGCCCAATGAGGGACTCGATCCCAGGACCCTGGGATCATGACCTGAGCCGAAGGCAGACGCTTAACCACCTGAGCCACCCAGGCGCCCTTTTTTGGACTCTCTTACATTAATATGGGTTTAATGAGGGTTTATCTTGCACTTTGAATGGGTCTTTTACCTATGTGTTCTGTCATAAAACCATGCCATTGTCATTTGGAAAATACCAGTTCATGAGTTTTTCAGTTCTTTCAAATACTGACCTATTTCCATATAAAATACCGAAAACCCACTTCTACCGTCACCACTGAGCTCATTAGAAAAGAATGTTAAGTCCCAGAGAGTTGCAAGAACTCCATGGTAGATATAAGTGCTCCAAATTCTGTCCCTTAAAAACCCAAATATTAACGGGCAACAAAGAAGAGTCCATTGTTTTCCTTGTGGTAACAGATGAGTTTATTCTGTTCGAGAAGAGGTCGCCTGAGTCTGAATAACCAAAGATCTTCTGTCAGTCATTCTTTTAAGTAAAAAATGACTTTCCATGAAAAGGTGTCTAGTTCAGCTCACATCTCAATCACACATGTGTTTTCCTTAAGATAATCATTGTACTTTGGTTTCTATCCGGAAGAGAATTGTTCCAATTTCCCATTTCATCACACAGAAAGATAAAAAGATTGATGGGTTAACATTTAATAAAATGAACATACTTTACTGCTACAGTAAAGAGCTTCTTAAGGGAAGCCAACACTTGTCAAGGTGCTGATGGTGAGAAATACAACCAATTGCTACGTAGTTATTGCCACCATTTTGATTCATGCTAAGCCATCAGCAATTTTACCCACCATTGTTTTTCCATCACCAATGCCAAGGGCAACACAAAAGGCACTGTGTCTTAGTGTAATTGTAAAAATGATTTTGACCGTGCAGAATCCTCTCAAGATCTCAGGGCCACCACCCTCGGAGAACCACAGCTCTATAATTTCACTAGGCAGGGGTCCAGCCTCAGTGTGAACACCTTAAGCCAGGACATCTCGTCTTGGGACAGCGGTGATGGTCTTCCTTAGATAAAGTGGGAATGCGTCTCCCTATCACTTCCACCGGTAAATCCTACCTGGCCAACCGCTTGGGGAAGCCCAGAAGAAAAATAACCCCTTTTCTCTATGACAGCCTTTTCAATTTTTTGAAGATAGCTTTCGTGTCTTCCCAGGTCTGTGCTTGCCCAGATGCAACATTCCTTCACTTACCAACCTTTTCTCCTAGTAATTAACTGTAACTTTCTTCCACATCCTTGCTACTCATAGTTGAATTTATATATATCAGGCTGCCATTAATCTTCAACTTTAACTTCAATGATATCTGATCTTTATCACAATCTAGTGGTTTTTCCCTGGCCAATCCTAATTGTTGACACTTTTAAAATATTTCATGGGGATTACCTCCCAAAATATCAAATATAAAAAGATCAACAAACTTATAAAATCCTAACATATACAACGGAATATTATTCAGCCTTAAAAAGGAAGGAAATCCTATCAGATGCTGTAACATGAGTGAACCTTGAGGACATTATACTGAGTGAAATTAGCCAGTCCCAAAAAGAAAATACTGTGTGATTCCACTTACTCGAGGTCCCTAGAGTGGTCAAATAGACAGAAAGTAGAACGGTAGTTGCCAGGGACTGGGGGTTAGAGAGAATGGGAAGTTACTGGTTAATGATTACATACAGATTCCTGTTGTGCAGGATGAAGAAAGTTCTGGAGATGGATGGTGGTGATGGTTTCACAAAAATATGAGTGTATTTAATGCCATTAAACCATATACTTAAAAGTGGTTAAGAAAGTACATTTTAGGGGCACTTGGGTGGCTCAGATGGTTAAGTGTCTGCCTTCAGCTCAGGTCATGATCTCCAGATCCTGGGATCGAGTGTCATGTCAGGCTCCCTGCTCAGTGGGGAGTCTGCTTCTCCCTCTCCCTCTGCCTCTCCCCCTGCTTATGCTCACTCTGTCTCTCTGTCATTCAAAGAATAAATAAAATCTTTAAAAAAAAAAGTACATTTTATGGTATCTATATTTTATTACAATAAAAAATGGAAAAAATTTAAAGTGAAAAAAATCGATCAAATCTTAGCAAGATTGGTCTAGAAATAACACAGATAATACACATTAAACATATCAAGAATTATACAGGGCTTATTACTAAGAATCTTACATATTTAAAAAAATAACTTTGTGACAAATATTTGAAAAATACAGAACTTTTATTTAAAAATTTTTCAAAACCAAGACCAGAAATTTTTTAAAAATTATCCTTTATCTATGAAATGAATTGATTTCTTAATTAAATGTAATTGAAAACATTCCAGAGAAGAAAGCCCCAGACTTAAACAGCATCATTTACAGACTCTTCCCAGCATTGAGGAAATAGGTGATAACTGTGCACAGGAAACTCACCCAGAGAATATATTAAAAAGGGATATTTCCAGGCTCATTTCTGAGGCCAGCACACCCATGGCAGGTTGCGCTGAGAGTTAGTTTTCCGTATCTCCCCACACCTGTGTGCGTTGCTCTCCCCCAACGGGCTCTGGGCTCGGCCACTGCACCTGTTTTTGCCTGTGGGATAGCAGCAAGTGTGTGGCAAGAAGGGGCTTGAAAAAGTGCTTGTGGGCCTCCATGCTCTTCCTTGGAACCCAAGCACTGTTAGAAGCGCATGCATGCCCACTGGCCCCTGGAGGCTGAGACGTGTGCGGGAGAAGCAGCAGCTCCCAGTCCCCCACAGGAGCTGAGCACAGAGGAATGAGCCCAGCCAGCTGAGATCACCCTAAAGCAGCAGAATTTCCCAACCAACCCAGACACTCAAGTGTAAAGACACAAATAAAAAGAGAGACCAACATACATTCAGTGGTCTTAGCACATGCTCCACCCCTTAGCGTCATGACCGGTGGAAAGCCCTGCTGAAGACTCAGCCGTGTCACCAGCTGGGAGAGAGCACCTTCATGATTTAGGCGCTGTCCCACTAGCGAGCCGTCCCCACTCGGAACCAGCGGGTTGTGTGTGGTGCCACCTCTCTCCCACCTGAAATGAACAGATCCAGGAACCAAGGGAAGGACGGAGGTGGTGGAGGACCCGGCTGCTATATTTTATAAACCAGTTGAAAATGCCCCATTGGCAGGGTGGTAATAACTTGTTGCAGCTTCCAGCTTCCGCACGCTTCCACATCTTGCGTGCTTCCATCAGCTTGACCTGTACCTTCGCAGAGCTTCCATTTACGGCCATGTGTCCAGTCACTCTTTGTGCAGGTGATGCCACGTGAAGCCCAGCTCTGGCCAATACAGGTTGTAGGAACGATTACATCATCAAAACAGTGTGTATGGTGACTAACATAACATAATAAAATAAAATTAAAAAAAAAAAAAAAAAGAACAGTGAGTTGTGTCCGCAAGCGTTTTTGTTATCTCCAAATGGCATTTTACGACTAGTGGAAAATAACTGTTTCTGGATAGAATTAAGTTCTATTCATGTCCTTTAAAATGACTGCTGTGTTTCGGGGGGGGGGGGTTTTGTCTCTTTTTGGGCCACTCTCATAAATATTATATTGTGTTATGAAGTTTCGCCTAAAGTACTCTGTTCACAACATTAGCACCAGATTTAAGAATTCTTTCTACTTCATTCATTGATCGTAAATATGCCCTTTACTTCAGAAATTGCCTTTGATGTTTTTTAAATTTCCATTCCTTTAGAGAATAACACCCAGGATAAACACCATTTTATTAAGTTCTGTGTCCCCGACCACCTAACATCGTACCTAAAAGCTGTTTGTATAAGTGAATGGATTATTAAATAAAGTACTTGAATCCCATAGTTCAAGTTCATGCTCTTAGATTTTAATACAAGCTGTGGGTCTCTGACTCCTTTAATCTTCTTGGGGTTTCCTCTTCTTTAATATCACATGCACATGCGCACACCTTCACACACACACACGCACACACGTGCACGTGCATCAGCCCCTACATAGCATGGAATATCCAATAGAGACCATGGAGATGCTCATGGCCATCTGGGACTCCATGTTTCTTACAGCTGAATTACCTAACTCCCTGACAGTGGCCCATACCATCTCTCTGTAACAAGCAAACCCACACGTAAGATGCTAGCAACTTTCTTACAGTTCCCCACAAACCAAAAACATGAGGCTATTGCATACTGCATAATTTTACTAAAATTTGGTGTAATAAAACAGCTTATCCGCAGCACAGCTGCCAAATTAAACTTGTTTATCGTTTGGCCCTGCCTTTTCCCAGAGTCTTTTGCCAATGAACTTTCTTCCTCAGGAAACAAAGCCTTTTATATATTTCTATATTTTTATTTTTGTGTTTTTCTATATATCTGATTCCCTGCTATTCTTCAAATGCCATCTTTTCTACTTTTGCCCCCTGAGCCCTTTCTTCTGATCTGTCTACAGTAAATGAAAACTTCTCTTGTTTTACTCTATAAAGTAATTTAGGAGCGAGGTGGTCACATAAGATTCTAAAGTCAAAACTAGAAACTTTTCTAACAAAAAACCACCTTCAGGGTAGGGATTGTGACCTTTACCCTAGTAATCAAAATCAGCCAAAATCAGTTTTTGTTTTAAATAACACTTTTTTCCTGGCATACAGGCAGTTTCAAACACCGTTTTGTGTGGCCTAACATCTTCCTTCCTCTGCTCCATTTCTGCCAAGGACGCAGTGGGCGAGTCCAAGGTGCATCCAAATCACGGCCACATTATCAGGAGCCACGGCAGAGAAGAAGGCAATCTGGGCATGAATGTCTGCAGGATGCGTGTGCACGTGTGCTGTGTGTGTGCTAAATAAAGAGCGATTACTTCAGGCAGAGGACAGAGCATCCTCAAACTGACGTGTCTCGGCAGCTTTAGTGAGGAAAGGAGGAGTTGGACAGAACTCTTTGCTTTAGAATAAAGATGCTCTTACTTATAAAGAGGATGACCAGGACTCTCAAATCAAATTATCTATGACACATGTCCACCTCTGTCTCCCTTGTCTTTCACCTCAAGCTCCTGCACAGCCCAGATGTCTCTTCCCTATCTCCACCTCATCTTTCTAGGGCATTAGTATGAAATATTTTTCCAGAGTAAATGTCTCTACCTCCTCCCTCTATCAACAACATCTAAACGAAACCCACGTTTTTAAATTCGGTCAGTGCCAAACAAGGTAAGCCTTTGTAAAAAAAAAAAAAAAAAAAGAGTGGATATGTCAGAGAGTTCTTCCTTATTTCTCCCATCTTTCACTGCTGCCCTTTTTCCTTTTGCTGTGTGAGCTGGTCTATTCCCCAAATGTAACATCCTTAAATATTTGCTTTCTTCTCCCCCACTTTTTTCTGATTTATCTGTGACCCTTCCATTCAGAAAATGCTATTCACTGCTATTCTCATCTTACAATATTAAATTTAATCAATTTAATTACCCACAAAAATCTCCTGGCTAAGCAAACAGTAAAAACATGCATTTGGCTGTGCTGCATTCAGAATGAATTCCAGCTGATAGCACGAGGTTGAGACATCTCAGAAAATGATGGAAACATACATGCATGCAGCTATTTGTATGTTTGCTGATTTTCTTTACATGAAAGTTTCACTTTAACCTGTCGTTACTTAACCTGTGACTGGAATTTGCTAGGTAACATGAGCCAGACGTATAATAGAGATTTGGGATTGCATCATGAAATCTGTTTTCTGTTAGAAATTGAAAATAACCATAGTGCTTAGGCTTTCGATTCAGTTCGTGAGGACACTTATTTTGTTACAGAATTGGTGTAAGGCCCTGAATCTGTGCATTGGAGAGAATAATATCTGCATGGAAAGGTTATTAATGCATTAATGAATAAATACATATCACCAGTGCACATCCTTATATATAATAAAAATATTATTCCATACTACCCAAGTAGAAGAATGATTAACTGTGTATTTATCAATATGTCTGTCATCCTAATATATGGATATGGATAACCATAACAATTCAGTCAGAATAGAGTCAATGTTGACATTTCCCATGTGTTTCCTGCTTAAGTTTTGTTCTGAGTTTGAGTTTCCAAAAAAGTCAATATATCTCAATCCATAAAACCTAAATTGCCTCCTGGTAAACAGCTCTCCTGGCCTGTGTGTATAACTAGGTCAGATTAAAGATCTCTTTATTTGAAGAGGGTCTCATGTATCTCATTTGAATAAACAATGACTCTCATTTGAATAAACAGTTATGCTTTCAAAATGCTATAAATAGGAGCGCCAGGGTGGCTCAGTCGACTAAGTGTCTGCCTTCAGCTCGGGTCATGATCTTAGGCTCCTGGGATCAAGCCCCATGTCATGCTCCCTGCTCAGTGGGAAGTCTGCTTCTCCCTCTCTCCCTCTGTGCTCTCTTTCTCTCTCTCCCTCAAATAAATAAATAAATAAATACATAAATACATAATAAATAAATAAAATCTTTTTTAAAAGTTATAAATATATACAACTATTCCAGAGGTTCTCTGTGTTCTCTATGAAAAATTTCCCATGGAACAAATAAAGAACTGCATGGGTGGCTTATCTGGCAGTTTTTGATGAACTGAGATAGCTTTTTGGATCTATATACAGTATATGCAATGATTTATTTTTATTAGGATTTTAAGTTAAAATAAAAATATGTTTATGCACACACAGACACACAGGTTTTTATTTGTCTTTATTGTTCTTCCCTCTGCCCTGACTGTCCTAAGACAGCCTACTTCCTAAGTCCATTTCCAAGTAATCATTTTTACCTGGCTTTTTGGAACAAAGAAATGTGTGTGTGCTATTTCTAAACTAAGTGCAGCATCACAGTCTTTCACTCTGTTCTTCACTAAAGAGCAGTTGTTCTCTGCAAGCGACATTGATGTTGCTCCCACGTTCTTACCTCTCCCCCGTCAGTAGTCATGAGCCCACTCACACACTGAGCTCTGCACAAAGCTTCGACTAAACTCTTCACTCCGAAATAGTTTTCTTTAAACCTCAGCCTAGCAGAAAGCAAGCTCTTCCCCTCCATTCCTTCTCTTCCTCCTCCTCCTTCTTCCTCTTCTTGACCTTCTTCTTCGCCTCCTTCACTTTCTCAACTTCCTCCCTCTGCTTTTTCTCTTCTCCCTCCCCTTCCTCCTCCTCCTGCTTCACAAAACTTTAATCCGACTCATCTTTTTTCTCCTGACAGTACCTCAGGAACTATTTTCCATACAGTCAGTATTTTCTACAATCTTGTTTTGAATGGTTTTATTATATTCTACCCCCATGAATGCATCTCATTTATTGTACTCTTCCCTAGTATTATATCTGCCCTTCAATTTTCAAAGATGATGTTGTAGAATTTCCCTCCATGACTAATGGACCTAAAAATTGGACCTTTCCCCACAGTTGCTGCATAGATGCTCTCCCTGCACCTACTGCAAGCTTAGGCCCATGTCTGCTTCTAGTTTGTGTCATCATGAACTGCAGATGAACTTTGCATTAAATACTGGACCACGTTTTGATTGATGCATTATGAGTTTCTGCCTCTCCTACTCTTTCATTAGGATCCCACAAGCATACTTTCTGGCTGTGTAGACCTACTCAGGTCAGCAATTTGATCATTAGTCATGCCCAAACTCATGCACATGCAGACATGACACACTGGTCTATGGATGTTCTTTCTGCTTCTAGTCTTACCATTCAATCATCAAAATTTATGGAGTAGTCATTGTATGACCAATCATACCATGTGTGAGGCATGATTCAAAAAATGCAGTATGTAGGTCTCTGACATCGAGGATAAAAATGGTAATAATAATAAAACAGTATTATGATGATGGGTAACATTATATAACACATACCAGAAACTGTCCTACATATTTTGCATAAATTTATCATTTACCCCTCACAACAATCTGTAAGCCTGTATTGTGTATCATCATCCCTATTTTGCATGAAGAAAACTAAGGCACAAATAAGTTTAAGTCATTTTCTTAAACGCACTCTTGTAAGTAAAGACCTAGAACTGGAGCTCAGGCAATCTGGTTCTGGGTCTGGACTCAATCTTTATAACATGACTGGGGAGACAAGCATCATATTCAAGAAAAAAAAAATTGAAGAACAAAATAGTTTATTATCCAGTGCTACGTTACTGAGTAAAAATAATCGGTGCATTAGCTACTGTATAGTAAGGTGTTAATTGGGTGGCCTGGAAAAGGGGCTAGAAATTGAGATCGTCTCAAACAAGGGCCATTATGGACTTGGCCACAGAGAGTGCATAGATGGGTGGAGAAGAAAGACCAAGGCCTTCCTCAGAGAGGGAATTCGGGGAGAGGACAAATGCACTCTCCATAGCACCAGTGTTGGTTTTATATCTTTGTTTTGCCAATGAACAGAGTCTGGATGTTGATATTACCTATTTGGCAGTAAAAAACGAGGTAAAAAAAAAATACGGTGTTTTGTATGTTTCTATAGATGCAGGCTCTCATGTGAGGGGCTGCTACAAGAGAGCCCTGTGCAGGTTCTCAGGAATAGGTCATAATGCATTTCAGAGCCCAAGGTGGTCACACAGCCTCATGTCATGTCATGTAGGAACTGGACAGAGCACCACAAAATAAAAGCAAAGCTACAATATGTAACTCGCCTTCCTTTTTGGGTGGAGAAATGTCTTATGAACTCCAGCTGAACAATAATGACCACACTCTTGTACATGGGAGTCTGAATTTCACAAGGCCACCAGGAGCTTTGTCGCTCTGAGCAGCAACTGACTTCTTTGATGGGGACCCTGATGTTTCCTTGGATCCCTTATATGCCATCCCATGAGAGAAGCATCTTTCCTTCCATGTTATGACTTTAAGGTACTTTGCAAGAATAAGTTTTCATTAAAATTGACTTTGGTTAAGATTTGCCGGTAATGGTGAAAAATGGCATTGCAGGGGCGCCTGGGGGGCTCAGTCATTAAGCATCTGCCTTCAGCTCAGGTCATGATCTCAGGGTCTTGGGATCAAGCCCCAGTTGGGGCTCCCTGCTCAGCAGGAAGCCTGCTTCTTCCTCTCCCTCTGCCCCTCCCCCTGCTCGTGCGCTCGCTCTCTCTCTCTCTCTCTCTCTCGCTCACTCTTTCTCTCAAATAAATAAATAAAATCTTTAAAAAAAATCACATTGCAATAAGTATTGCCAGGATGCTTGCTTTCAGTCAAACAATGTGCTATTTTGAAAACTTGGGCAGACTTAGGATTCCACTTTAAAAAAATCATTCCGGTTCATTATTTAGCACATTGGTAATTTATCACCAGTGATCATTTCAAAAGAAAATGAACAGCAACAATAAAATCTGCTGCATCATGTATCCAACCATACAACTTTGGGTTACTTATAGCCTGGGGTCTTACACTGATATCTGCTAGTATAATTAATTTTTGTGAAATATTGTAGCTATAATTCATTTTTGCTAGAAAAAAAAACGGAAACTCATATAGAAATGAATCTTTACTTTAGCAGTTTTGAGTAACTCTGATAAAACTCCCAACTATATTTTAGAGGTCCTGCTAAAGGCACCAGCTTTCCTTTTAAAGCAAGGTCAGGTTTACACTTTCTAACAGAGAAAGTGAGGAGAGTTCACGTTTTGTCACCTTCCTGGATTAAATAACATATTCAAATCTGGCATGAGCTAGGGAAATCCTGATCACACAGGATTCGCTGTCCTGTGTTCTCCGTTCTAAATAGAAGCTCTTTATTGAGCCCAAGCACACGTTAGTTGGTGTATTATAAATCCTCACCCAACGTTATGTAAGGCTCTAGTTTCTGAATTTTCGGAAACAGCTAAGATTGAATCTTTTTTTATTTCAGTAGGACAGTTAAGGAGTAAAGAGAAGAATTTCTATCATAATTTAGTCATTTTCCTCCTGCTTTCTCCGCTATTTTATTTCATTCACACAGGTCATATTACCTGTCTTACAGCATGGGTTTGTTCGAAATGCTCCTGTCATGTATTTCTACATCAGCGTGGGTGAAGGGGAAGCTCTTCTATTTCCTATCGAAGGAGGACATCTCTCCCTCAGAAAATGAAGTCGTGGGCGCCTGGGTGGCTCAGATGGTTAAGCGTCTGCCTTCGGCTCAGGTCATGATCTCAGGGTCCTGGGATCGAGTCCCGCATCGGGCTCCCTGCTCCTTGGGAGCCTGCTTCTCCCTCTGCCTTTCTCTCTCGCTCTGTCTCTCATGAATAAAAAAAAAAAAAAAAAATCTTTAAAAAAAAAAAGAAAACGAAGTCGTTCCACACAGATGCCAGCTCCTAATTGCCTTTCACTTTTTCCTGTATGCTTAGATTGACTAGCTCTTCGCCTAAGAACTTCATTATAATCACTAAGTATGAATCATTGCTTTGCCTATTGTTCCAAATGTAATTCTTGTTGTGCTTCCCTCCTGACCAGATAAAGCTGTTGATTCAAGTGTTGACATAAGACTAGGAGTCCTGTGATGATCCCAGCTGGAAGGGAAGAGGGGAAAATAGCATGTCTATTTGGCTTTAATATGGGGTCTTATCACAGAGCGCAGATGGACAGAAGCGTTGGAGTTTGCAAGGAGGAGATCGGCAAGTTCTGTAAATATGCTAGTGATGCTGTTTTAAGAGTTTGGTGCCACAGACAATTAATCGGCAGGATTCAACCGTCCTGACAATTTATCAGTCTGTCGCTGCCGCTCTGCTAGTTTGGGTGCATTTCCTGAGACGTGCAAGGCAACAGCCCTCTGTCCCCCAGCCCACAGCGACGCTTCTTTCCAGAAACAAAGCAGCTCTTCCAGCCGGACCACAAATACTTGGACCCCTAGCTCCAGTCGTCCTGCAGAAAAATGCAAGACGTCTGGCCTCCCTTTCCTCTCCGCTTCTCTCTTTATTCCTGATTAGAATTCCACTCCATCATGCCTTGCTTACAGTGACTCCTCATTCTGTGGGGAGAAATTTATTATTTCTCTCAGTCATTAAAGCCATACGCACGGAATATGATTTCCTCTTAGTCACATTGATATTATAAAGATCCCAACTAAAATGTCAGAGGCAATTAAAATATTTCATCTTAAAGGAGTATAAAAATGCTGTGTGAAAAATCATGAGGTTTTTTTTGTCCTGATAATAATCACACAATAATTAAGGGGGACACATTAGGAGAATACAAATGTACAAGGTCACATACTAAGAAGAGCAGGTTGATTTCTTTTTTTTTTTTTTTAAGATTTTATTGATTTATTTGTCAGAGAGAGAGAGCACACAAGCAGGGGGAGCGGCAGGCAGAGGGAGAAGCAGGCTCCCCGCCGAGGAGGGAGCCCAGTGCGGGACTCGATCCCAGGACTCTGGGATCACGACCTGAGCCGAAGGCAGACGCTTAACCAACTGAGCCACCCAGGCATCCCAGAGCAGGGTGATTCCTGAAACAACCTGCAGTATTTGGCCTGTAGCTGAAGTTTGTTTTATCCGAGCAGATGAGTTGCAAGGACACTGGATGCCAACTTGTCTGTGTTCATACTTGAGTACCTGAAGGGTTACTTTATGCAGGTGCTTACAGATTTATCCATGGGGCAGGGGGCTTCCATCTGCTGGAAAGCAAATCATCAGCGGGTGAGGGAAGAAGGCGGAAATCTCACAAAATCCTTTTCCCTCTTTTTTTCCTTCAGTGAGACCAATGCCAAGGCAATGCAGGTCTAAGGCTTGTGGTGTGGGCGTCACCTACCGTGATGAGCACGTGAAACAGGACGGGAGGCGGAGCGGCGGCTGGCAGAGCACAGTGACTTGTGAGCCAAGAGTGACATTTGCAACCCAGCATAACCAGACCTGATCTCAGCTCAGACATTCCAACGTGCCCGTTGACGTACATCACCTCATCGTGAAGAGCGGGGGGAAAACCACTTTTCTCAAACAGTTCTTTTCGTCTTCATCCTTCTCTGTTTTTGTCATTTTTGTCTTGAGTGGAAGGGATGATTTGATGACCTTGCATATACATGATCCCAGTGGGTTTCACCGTGCTCCCCCCAACTCATGTCCGCCCAGAACCTCAGAATACAACCTCATTTGGAAATAGGGTCTTTGTGCATGTCATTACAAAAAGGATGGAGATAGATCATACTACATTACCCTAAAGTCAATGAAAATCTCTTCATAAAAAAACAGCCACAGAGAGAAGGTCATGTGAAGACAGAGGCAGGGACTGGGGCGCTGTGAGCCACAAACACCAGGAGCCTCCGAGGACTCAAACAGACAAGGAGCTCTGCCCCTGTAGAGACTCCAGGGAGAGAGTGGTCTTGCTAACACCTTGATTTCAGACTTCTCGCCCCTATACCTGTGAGGAAATAAAATTTTTTTTAAGCCACCAAGTCTGTGATATTTCATTAGTGACCACCCTAGGAAACTAATATAACCAGCATGCCGCATGGTAATTGTTTAGTTAATTATATGGATCTCATTAGATTTTTTCGATAGGTCTTGTCAAGACTGACAAAAGTGGGCAGAAGGCTGGTGCAGAACGTTCTCACAGACGACATTCCTAAATGACCCACTGACTGAATTGGCTGTTCGTCTCTTAATGGGTTGGCCATTCTTTCTTACCTCCAGCTTTGGTTTCCTGGAGATGCTCCCTCTCCCGCTGCTCGAAATCCTTTTTCCGCCGTGGATCGGTGCTCACCAAAAAAGACTGGATTAGACTAACTCCAGTTCTTAAAAAAAAAATCAATCAATCAATAAGAAAACATTACTGATTCTATAGTGGAAAGACAATTTGGGTCATCTAGTTTAGTGGACATTTTTGCCTGCTTACCACCTAAAAGACTTTTGAAAAACTGTGTATCGCCATATGCAATGTTAAGTTGAAACTAAAAAGGCTTTGTCATAAGTTGAAATCATGTCAAGAGTATAATTTCCACATCAGCAAATATTGGAGTTTTAAACATAAGAGTCAACTCAAACTTAGGTACGTGTTTTTAAACTTACATAATGAAGTCTAAATATCTTAATAATTTTATAATTTGGATCTTGCACTGAAAAGTACACATGAACAAACTCAAATAAGAATTGGCTATTTTACATAATTTTTCTTTCTCTTTGAATATAAATTTTATTCCATCTTTCTCATGGAATTGTATATAGTGTAAATGTTTTTATGCCTGAAAATGCTTCATCAATCATCATATTATTTCACTACAATAAAAATATGAAAAATTTCTGTGGCCATAAGACTTCAGGGGTTAAAAATTTCTTCCGGATTGACTTCTCATTGCAACTATTCATTGCTACAGAATTAAGCAACATACATATGTAGATCTAGAATATGTGTTATCGAACAACATAAATATAAATGCAACATAAGTATCAGAATCAAACAACATGAATTCTAGTGTTGGGGACCTCTGGACCTGGGGGGGAGGGGCATGACTCTGCAGGGATGTCTCCACTAGAGACAAGGTTACTTCCCTGGGTCACAGGCAGTTTCTGGAGACGGACCCAGCTGTGATCAGTCAGCACCCAGACTTCTGACAGCTGTGTGAATGAGAGCTACGGTCCTGGGAGGGGAGTGTGGCAGTAGGGACTACATACAGCAGTTTCTTAATTAATGCATGAAAACATTTAGAACAGTAGTCAACATACCACATTTGAGAAATTATTGCATCGTTACATCATTATTATATTAGTCAATTATTATATCATCAATAAGCTAATCATATCATTAATATGTTCTGATAACATATCATTCATGTTTCTAGACAACATAATCTATTCAATTACCGATAAATTAGACTTCTAACATCAGTAAGTTTGAAAGATTAAAATATTGGGCACATAAGGGGAAAAAAGAACTTAAAGAATTGCCTAATGCATTTGAATAGCCGGGATATTGTTTCTGCTCTTGAAAAATAGAAATCAATTTCCTAGGTTTTATTATCTGTTAATTGTTTGGGAAATTGCATATTTTCCACATTGAAACCTTTTTTTTTTTTGAGGGAGGAATAGAGTTAAGACCACTTCTCTCCCCAAGAAAAGGCATCTTTGTGTCTCTTATTAAATGGTCCCTTCCCTCCATGCCCTCCATGCCCTCCACGCCCTCCACGCCCTCCACGCCCCCACTTCCATTCTGCTCCCTGCCAAAATTTGAAATTTCCTTTGAATTTTCATTTCTTTAAGCCAAAGCAGAGAAGAAAATTAAAGCCTTTCCAAACACTACTTAACCATTCCTAATATTTATGTAAAAAGGACATGAAAATGTCAAACGTGCTCTTAGATGAGTGTGTTTGAGTTGTTAAGGTAAGTATTTCATATTAAAATTACATTCCTTGAATTGCATAGAGTCCTTCTTCAAAAATGAGTTAGGAACACTACATCTAAAACTAATGATGTAATGTATGGTGACTAACATAACAATAAAAATTTAAAATAAAATTAAATTAAAATTAAAAAAATGAGTTAAAGCTGTTGAAATCCACTATTGTTTGTTAAATGTGTTTGCATAAATCTGCCTTTTCCTGACAGCAAGTTACTCTGAGAAAATAAATATAGGACTTGAATTATTGAACTATTGCTTGTATTCAATAAATAACATACCTTACTGTCAGCAAAACCATATTTTGTACTGCTGGCTTATACCATTAAAGCTACTGGGTAAGAAATGGTATCTGAACTAAGAGGCATTTTTTAACTAGTACCTAAGAATGAATCTATAGTATGTTGAAACAACAACAACAAAATCTATGTCAGAATAATACATAAAATTTCCTTCCTTAGAAGGGGGAGATATGAATACTCTTGGAGAGAGCTCATTTTTAAGAAATATTTAAGCATGAATAAAATAGTCATACAATTTATTTCTGAATTCTACAGACTGGTTTAGTACTTTTATTTTTAGCAGGAATTGCAAAACTCAACTGGACTTGACATTTCTGATTTAAGATATGCAGAATCTAAGGAAATGGAGAGCATGAACTATTTCCTAAGCATTTGAAAATCTAATGTCTTATTTCTGTATTAAGATTACTTCTGTATTTTGAGGCTAATCTACTTCCTACATTTTACTGTACGGCAAATACATCGAAAGTTCATTTGGGCATATTGCCCTTTTCAAAAAAAAGTTTTAAATAAAAATGGCCCCATATACTCTTCTACCAAAATCATTCTGAGTCCTGAAAAATGATCCAAAGAGTAAATACGATCTCATTGATCCACTCACAAATGTTCACATTATAATGTACTGGAGGATCAGGTTTCCCTGCATATTTAATACAATTGGCATTAACATTAACTGATATTTCCCAAAGCCTCGCTCGGTAGGTCTCCAAGATACAATTCCTTCCAGGTTCCAAGTTTTTGACCAGACAGCTGAGCTGAACAAACACAACCTTGGTGTCTCTACCTTCCTTTCCTAAAGGATTTACTGTCCATGTACGAGAATGTTCCATTGCGGTGGATGGATTACTGTTACCATCATGCCTCCCATTTCACGGTCTCCCCTTGCACGCAGCGCAGAATAGACAAACTAAACATACCTGCCCTGTTGGTGCTGGATTTGGTCATGCAGACTGTTGAAGCAATGGAATGGAATAAAGAACATTTTAAACTCGCACGCATGTCCTGTCCAGCCAACCACCTTCCATCCATATAAACTGCCACGGAAAGATGTTCCAAGATGGCAGTGGTCCTCTGAGGTTGAGAACACACATGGATTAGCCTGGGACTGGATTGGCATCCTGGAGCCTCTAGTCCAAATTCCAGCAGTGAGCTTAGCTAGGTGAGTTGCATCTGAGCTGTAGACCCACGAGAAAGGAATAGATGCTCTTTGTTGTATGACACTGTGACTCCTTTTCACAGAGGTATTGCGGCAGAAGACTCTGTTACCTGCCCTGGGACCCACAGTGGGCTGGTCCTCACAGAAAACCACATGCGTGGATGGAGGGCCTGATGGTGCAGAGCGGGGCTTGGCGTCTTCTAGGAGAGCAGGCTGCTCAGGAAGACAGGTGTGCGTGTTAGAATTTCATACACGGTTTTATTGTAGCAAACAGGGACGTATATATCATATGTTGCCCCATGCATGGGCTCTTTTTCCTTTTATTTAAAGTCGTGAGAAGTCATCAAATATAGAACAAAGTCCATTTCAAATGTTTAATATACGTATTTGACTGTAGCCTCTGGTGAAGGGTTATATTTGTTGAGAATCTTTCCAGGGTGTGTGGCCATTGGCCTATGCTGACTATTTTACCGTATTATCCCTAATTGTTCCTAAGGACCCTGAAAGTCAGAGATTACTCATTCTTGCTCCTAGGAACCAGGGAGTTCTGGAAGCTAAACGTGTATGAAAATATATATTTTTCCCTCTAACTACTATAAATACCGTAACGAACCTGAAGAATCCAGCTATTGCCAGCAGCTAAATTGTGCAGGTCAGCCTGTAACTGTGAAGGTGGATTTCAATCACTTATTCAAAGTTTACGTGCTGCCTCTCACTTCCGATTTTATTGGCCCGATTCACAAGGCAATAGATATGAGGTAGCCCCTCATACAGGTGTAAACAACAGAAAAGCAGAGTGAGGAGGATTTCCCTCCCTCTGAGGGAGGAAATATTATTTTCATTTTCCGGGCAAAGAAAGTGACGTTATGTTAGGAACGTTCCCCGAGGTACAATCTGCAGACGCACCAGCATCATGACCCCCCAGCATTGCCCTGCCGCCCCCACCCCGCCTCTCACTGCAAGATCAGGATGACCAGCAGGAAGCCCCTTGGGGGACCCCCGCATGCATTTGAGGCGCTGGGATAGAAGCCACGGGTAAGGATAACATCTTCGCTGGTGATTTCATTGGAGCTGAAGGAAGCAAGGGTCACGCTTAAGGAGGGAGCAATGGTGACCGGCCTGTTATTTATAAGGTAAATATGTTTAAGTCGGAAGAATGCTACACTTCGGCTCCTCCACTCTCTTTTTTGAGACATTTAATAGAAGAGGCAGTTATGTGCTAAGAGTCATTTCCCTGGGCAGGTGTATCTATTTTCTGCTTATCGAAATCAGGAGCAATAAAAATTGCTGAATGTGGCTGGGAGGGGAGGAACCTGGTGGCTATGAGAAGAAGCTGTGTATATTTTGCAGAGTGGATAAACTGTTAGTGGTTCAATGATTTTTTTGAAAACGATTTGCAAAACGGCTGCAGGGGACGGGTAAGTAAATGTGGATTGATTCATCGAAGGAGGCTGGCTCCCGGCTGAAGGAAATGACTGGAAATGTGCATTCTGGGGCTCTATTTCTTGTTGTACACCTAATTTGCTGCTCCTGAGGCAAGCTCTCTCAATTCAACATGCCTCCCGATTCCTCCTCCTTTGGATTTCACCTCATTTGTTAGTGAGACTGAAGCTGGCTGAAGCAGAGCCTACATCAGAACAAGGTGATATTGGCAAGTGGGTGGGGAAAAAAATGGATAAAGAGGTCAAGTGAACAATGGCAAGAAAGCTGGGTGCACGGAGCCCGAATGAGCTGTAGATTTACAGCCATGATTGCTCTCCGAAACCCACAGTCACGTTGGCAGGCATAAAAGTCTGAGTATCTGTGGGAAGACCTTCTTCCAGGATCAAGGTCTCACTCACCCTGTTGATCCATGAATAAACATTTTCGTAGTGCAGCAGTCGACTTTTGTTTTATGAAGACAGAGGTCAAACTTTAGTACTGGTCAGCAGAATCAGATTTCTTCTCACTAACACACTGTATCCCTTATCTGTGGTCTGATGTGGATTTTAGAGATTTTATTTCCTTTTTATTCACCCTCTCAAGAGTCCTTACGTTGCCCAAGGAAGGCATCACTTGAAAGAATGTGGATAGCATTCGCATTCTCGTCTAGATGAAAGGATATCATAAACCGATAAACTCGACTTGAAAGGAAAACAGCTGCTATTTATATAGCTTATATTTAAAAATCTATTTCAGGAATATTCGTCCTAAAGAGGAAGGACATTCTGATACAAGCTACAGCATGGGTAAACCTTGGAGACCCTATGTTGAGTGAAATAAGCCAGGCACAAAAAAAAAAAAAAAAGAAAAGAAAGAAATACTGTCTGATTCCATGTATTTGAGGTACTGGGAATAGTCAGATTCGTAGAGTCCAAAGGTAGAGAAATGATTACCAGGCGCTGGGGAGAGGGGAAATGGGGAGTTAGTGTTTAATGGGGACAGAGTCTCGGTTCCAGCAGATGACATAAGTTCTGAAAATGGTAATGATGATGGTTTGCACAAGGGAGTACTCTTCAAGCCTTTGAACTATATGTTTCCAAATGGCTACAATGCCACATTTTATATTGTGCATATTTTACTACAATAATAAAAAAAGAAATATATATCTCAAAGTAAACTTCCTAATGCCATATATAAAACAAAGATACTACAACTATACAGAGAAAGAGATACAGATACAACTACATCAAGAAAAAGTGCATGACATGGGCAAGTCAGAAATAAATTTACAAAAATTTGTAGGTATGCTTATCCAAACTCTTAGTCTTGTCCCAAGGAAAACATGAAACAATTTTTTACATTAGAGTAACTTAACTAGAGCTTTGTGTGATCTGCAAGCTATTTCTGTCCCTTCCTAAGGTGGGAATGAAAAACAGGGAAGACAATGGAAAACCCAAGGACTTGCTACCTACCTCCTCTCACAGGTCATCACCATACAGGGGCAGTGTTGTTGTATTTGAAGTAGTGAGAATGTATAGACCTGTTAAATCTCTATGTTAGACACCTGAAGCTAATATAACACTGTATGTTAATTTTTCTGGAAATAACAATAAATGGATAAGGTAGCAAGAATTCATCCAATGTAAAACAAAGTCAATTTCACCTGTTCAGTACATATTTGACTGTAGCAAGCAGTGAAGGGTTACATTTGTTGAGAATGTTTCCTAGGGCTGTGTGGCCACCAGCCTATATTGTATGCCTACTGTCCCATGTCCTCCCTAATTGTTCGTAAGGACACTGAAAGGACACTGGTTTCAGGAACCAGGGAGTTCTAGAAGCTGAACATGCATGAGTCTCCCACAGCATTAATTCCTTAAAGCACATTAGAATAATGTATCTTCCTAATAACGGAAAGTAGGAGTCCTCGATGAAGATACAAGAAGGATGGGCGCCTGGGTGGCTCAGTTGGGTAAGCGACTGCCTTCGGCTCAGGTCATGATCCTGGAGTCCCAGGATCGAGTCCCGCATCGGGCTCCCTGCTCGGTGGGGAGTCTGCTCCTCCCTCTGACCCTCCCCCCTCTCATGTGCTCTCTCTCATTCTCTCTGTCTCAAATAAATAAATAAAATCTTTAAAAAAAAACAGATACAAGAAGGAAAATGATGGCTTGGTGTATTTAGAACAGAGGAGAAGTGAACACAAGCCAGACAAGGCTCAGAACCCAGATCCGAGGAGCGCACTGCGGTTCTAAGCTCCCCTGCTCCGCACTGCTTGCGCACTCTTCAATGTGGGAAAGCCTAGCACAGTTTGGTGACAATGGTGGTGGGCCAGGCAGGGCACAGGCCAGGGCAGGACTTTGCCATGTTGGAGTAATGAGCTACCACCAGCAACCCATGTAAGAAGAAGGTGATGACCCAAACAAGACTCCCTTAAAAAGTCCTTCCAGTTGGGGCAGTTGGGTGGCTCAGTCAGTTAAGCATCCAACTCTTGGTCTCAGCTCAGGTCTTGATCTCAGGGTTGTGAGCTCCAACCCCACATTGGGCTCCACACTGGTCATGGAGCCTACTTTAAAAAAAAGAGTCCTTACAGATGAGAAATTATAAAACATCCGTCCTCAGTTGGCATATTTGGGCTTAAACATTAGCTATTCACTATCATTTTAAGAATCCCTTAAATAGAGTGTGGACAGCGTTTAAAGCACTTAAGATGATTAGGGGTGCAGAGGAAGTCCCTCTGATCCCCAGGTGGGCTGAAGGCCATGCCCACCCATCCAAGAGTCTCCAACCTCTGTGTCTCTGCTGGACACTGTCATCCGAGTCTCCACCCGATCTGATCCTATAGAAGCCCAAAGTCAACTGATGGGGTTGAGCAGAGTTCTCAGTAGAGAGAGTATGGGGCCGTTGGAGCTTCTGAACGTATAAGGACTTGAAGTGTCAAATGCATGTACTTTCCAGTCCAATAAATGCCAAGGGGATTTCCCCATCAGGAAGAACCGTGGGTAGACAAGCTCCCAGTCATCGGTGCTGGCCTGGAGGGCAGGGTGGGATTTAGAGCACATGCCCCAGCCCACTCTTGTCCAAAGTTTTCACTATTGGTCAGAAGCAGAAGCCTCGGGGACCCTGACTGCGGATTATCACACCTCTACCAATAGGTAGAAACCAACCTAAAATTCAAGGGCTTTGTCACCAAATACTGTTTCTTGGGAATGTGTGGGTGGGTTCGAGGCTCCCAACCTCCCTGGCACTTAGCTGAACACCACCGCACCTTTGCCTCTCTCTTCTACCTGCCAACACCCTGGAGAGGAACCCAGGACCTCACAGAGCCCCCTGGGTTCTGCAGACAGGATGTACCTCACATGGGCACTCCATGTGGCCCTTTTTATTGGCTGACCCACAAATCCTTTGAAAGGAGCCCAAACCCAAAAGCTGTGTTGGAAAGTGTCCATCAAGCTCTGCTGTGGGGGCCCACAACCTTAGTGACCCCTTTAGCCACAGATCTCTGGGACTAATGGATTTTATCAACAGGATCTTCTGGCACAGGGTGGCAGTCTTCACCCAAAGGTGCCTGGGGTAGTGGATGTGGAGATTTGACAGAGTCATCAGGAACACCCTTTGAAAAGCAGCCTTTGTTTTGCGGGACTTTTCAGAGCTGCATGCTTGACCTGTGGAGGCCTTGGGAGTCTCTGACCTGCTACTCTCATTTCAGGGTAGGTCCCCTCAGACACCATGACTAGCAAG